AACTTTTAATGTTGTAAGAAACATTTTCCTTACTATTATTTGTTTCAAAATTTCTTGAAAAAATATGTTTGATACAAGGAAGCATAACCCCTCAAGATATCAAAGACACAGTCCTTGATCACATTGCTAGGTTATAAATGTAACAATGAACACATCTCAACTTCCTTTACTAAAAATTGACTAATATAACTAAGGGCTGAACCTGGACCAGAACTGGTCACTTGAGATCCTGCCGTGCTGCCTTAAAACCTCATTTTTCTTTTCATAATGCAAGACTTCTGGGAGCTGTAGAGATGGTTCAGTGATTGCGAGTGCTTGCTACACTCTTCCAAAGGACTTGCTGTTCAGGTCACAGCATCCACTTCTGGTGGCTCACAACCACCGCTAACTCCAGCTGTAGGTGGCCCAACACCCTCTTCTGCCCTCTGCAAGCACCTGAACACACATAGCTCACACATATGCACATATGCGTGCACGCACACACACACACAGAGGACAGAGACAGAGAGAAACAATAACATAAATATCCCACTGCTGTCTTCCTGAGCTGCCAGCCTCATGTTGAGACTCAGATCTACATTTCTAGTGCCCTGAAAAGTGGTTACATTTTGGTTTTTGAGACTCAGGGATCTACAAAATTTCAAGACCTCCTTCTCCTGCCTGGTGTTTTGCTCTGGCCCACTCTTCAGCCCTCAGCTCAGGCATTTCTCATAGAAACTCTTTTGAGTATCATGAAACAAAATCATGCTTGTTCATCTTACTTTCTTGACTTGGAGCTTCTCAAGCTTGTCCTTTGGTAGTTTCTTGACTGATTTTTTTCTTATATTTAGCTCTTTAAGTTTGACATTCTGAAGCTAGGAAACATGAAAATTTTAATGTTTATTTCTTTTCTTTAATAGTAAACAGTTGAGACTTACAAAAAAAAGTAGAAAGCAACAAAAGGTATTGAGGGATTTTTGTTGTTTTGAGACAGGGCTTACTATGTAACCTTGGCTAGCCTGGAACTCACTATGTAGATTAGGGTGGCCTCCAACTCGGATATCTACCTGCCTCTGCCCCCCCAATGCAATTGTGTGTGTGTGTGTGTTGTGTAGATACATGTACCACAGCATACATGTGGAAGTCAGAGGACAACTTGGAGGAGTCAGTTTTGTCCTTCCACCATGTGGGTCCTAGAAACTGAACTCAGGTCATCAGCCTTGTAGCAAGCACCTTTACCCCTGAGCCATCTTGCCTGCCCTGATACTACTGAATCTTACAAAGACATTTTTCCCTTGGAAGGAACGACTTGAAAGCCAGGTGGTGCATACCTGTAATCCAAGTAGTTAGGAAATAGAGTCAGAGGAATCAGGAGTTCAAGGCCAACCTGGGCTACATGAGATCCTACCTCAGAAAAGCAAAAAAAAAGCTGGGCATGGTGGCACACGCCTTTAATCTCAGTTCTTGGGAGAGAGAGGCAAGTAGATCTCTGAATTCAAGGTTAGTCTGGTCTACATAGTTCCAGGTCAGCCAAAGATACATAGGAAGACCCTGTCTCAAAACAACAAAACAAGCTGGACATGGTGGTGCATACCTTTAACCCCAGCAGTTGGGAGGCAGAAGCAGGCAGATCTCTGTGAATTCAAGGCCAGTTTGGTCAACATAATGAGTTCCAGGCCAGCTGGGGCTACAGAGAGACCCTGTCTCAAAAAGACCCTGTCCTTCTGGGCTAAAAGTCAAAATGTCCTTGGGCCTGTTAGCAGCACATTCTGTTCCAAAGGCCAAAAATGTCAAAATGTCAAAAGTATTTAGGAGCTTGTATCTAATCCTTAAAAGATTTTAGGGTTACCTCTTTGGAAGGGGGAATGTTGGATGGGAGGGAGTAGGCATGAATTTGATCAAAACACTTTATATGCATGTATGAAATCCTCAATAAAGTTTTTGTAAATTTTTTTTAAAAAAGAAATGTACTTTACGGAACATTAGTGTCAATGAATCTGAAAGAAGTTATGTACCCATTTCTTCATCCCCTGTTACCCTGATGCCTCATGAGTGCTTTGGACTTTGTAATGTTGAACATATTTCCTCTGCCAATTGTTTTTATCAGAAGTCAAATGGATCCCTATATTTTTAAAAACTTCCTGCCCCAAGTAGGATCAAAATACATTAGTAGGATCAAAATACATCTATCTTTCCATTCTCTGATACCTACTTAGAAGCTACAAAGTGAATAACAAAAGAACCACATTGCCAGTGCCTACACTAACTGATGGTTAAGACCAAGAATCCTGGGCATATAAAGCTAAAGTATATTTCCAGAGGATTTTATCCCATTTCCTGTCAAGATATCTAGATTAAAGCATATTGATTAATACTTAATGGGAGCCTATGGATAAATTGCAAAGAGAAAGCACTGTTTTGTACCCAGTGCCTTTGAAAACCTACCTTGAACTGCCAACTTGATCCCGAAAGGTTGATTTCTACCAGAGGACATGGCTGCTATTTATTATTGATATATCATGGGGTGATACTTCTATAAAGGTTTAAACAAGAAAACTTTTTATGTTTTCATTTAAGAGTAGGGGGGAGGGGAGAGATATGCCCTCAACCTTGGTAAGCTTGACAGTTTCTAAATTAGAAGAGTAATATATACATCTGAAAACGTACAGTATCGATCTCATGAAATAGTAACCGTTTAATTGGTCTTATTACTTATGTTTTATGACATATTACATATGTCAAACTCTCATAAAACCTTTTCTTTGTTCTCACTTTTGCTTTCAAATCTAATTATAACCCACTGTCATTTTCTAGTGGCCACTATTTCATGGTGCAATTTCGTTCTAATTTAGTTTTTGAGACCAAAGGGACTTGGGCTGGGGTCACATCACTTCAGTGCTCATAAGCTGCTATTCACGGTGAAAATAGTTCCTGAATATCTCCCTATTCAGCTTTGACATTAAGGGAGGAACCCAGGAAATGTGCTTACTCCACAGGCTGTGTGGTCAGAAGTCATAATACTGTGGATCTTAGCTGGAGTTCTTGCAACATCACTGGCAAAAACCAAAATCAATGCAGTGTGACAACACGGGCTGATATATGACAAGTGATGAAAAGTACATCAGTGACGATGCCAAAGAATGAAACAGAGGAACTTCATTATCTGGAGATTAAAACACACTTTTAAAACATTTGTGGCTCTGAATAGCATTACTCTACACAGAGTAAACATGTAGGGAGTTAAATGAAGATCACCCCTCTGGTGCTTTTGTACTCACTGGGTATAGATTGATAACTGAGAGAGATAAGCTTTCTCACAGGACCACAACCAGCTGACATTCCTGGTGACATTGTGAAAACTTAATAAAATATGAAGTATACATCATAGAACATAAAATGAATGGCCTTCTTTTTCCCACTCTAGACATCAGCACAGGTGATGGAGATGACTGTTAAGAAACCCTGTATATGAATTCACAAATGACTCCCTGCTGTCTTCTCTGACCTGAGAAGGCCAGGTGCCGGCATCTCAATCGAAGGAAGTGGAATGTTTCACAGACACAACTGGGGTCTCATATTACCATCTAAGAAAGTAAGAATGCTTGCTACTTATGAATCGATTTTAAGTCATTTACTATTGAAAACTTATGGTCTTTCTCATGGTGGGTTTTATTTCATCAATCAATAACAAAGCCTGGAATGAAGTCTTAAATAGTGACATAATTCTTTATCGTATATTTATTTGAAAATAAGTTTACCAGTTGCTAATATTAAACATTTTCTAATTAATACCTTACATAACAAGAATCTTATTGATTCCTAAAGTACAGGGAAGGAGAGAAGCAGAGACGATGAGCCTTATGGGTTCCTCAGCTGCACTTCTTAGAAACAAGTAAACAGTGAACTTCACTAATTTAACACAATTATTCCTTGGCTATCTGTTGAAAGAGGATACTTCTAACAAGCATTTAACTGCCCACAAACAGAACTTTTATGGGACAGAGTTTAACTTGTAGCTCAGAAAGAACCAGGATATGCACATTAAAATCACACTTGCAGTTTTGGTTTTTGAAAGTCTGAAGTGATGAGCTGGTAAGCAGAAGGGCCAGCAGTGTGCATACCCAGCAGTCCATCATCCCCTCACTTCTGTGAGAACACATAACGCCAGCCGTATCACAAGTGCAAAGTGGAAGAGAAAAGCCCAGAGTTTTGGATTCCCAGAAGATTGCTATCCCTCCAGACCGCCTTCATTCTGCACAACATACATTTTATAATTTTAAATTTATACTCAGAAACTATGTTCTCTTGCGCATTCAGACTTCATTCATCTACATTTGATACTTCAAAGGGTTTTGTTCTGGTTACTTTATGTTGTAAAATGGTGGTTTTTACTTCATCCCATTAAACAGGATGTCTTGGAAAAGGTGCAATCAGTCTCTAGAAATGAAAATTGTTATTTTTGAATACAGCAGTAATATTTAACAGAGGAGAAGTTGAAGCTGTGCTAAGTATAACTATGCATCATATCTTAACTTCTTAGCCCCTGAAAGACCAAACTGAGGCTTGGACATATTATCAAATTTTCTTAGACTCATATATAACCAAATTTCTGAGGATCTTTAAAATTTTTCAATACTAAAGGATATACAAAAAACATTTATTTATGAATCTGCTCAATTATTCAGTGTTTCATTTCTGAATACTATGTACTAACTTAGATGTGGGAATATAAACTATGGAGTGTGTTTTCTGCCCTTAAAGATCTTGCATTTTGCTTTAGAAGAGACAGCGTGAAAAAACATTCAGTGTGGTAACATATATTAACAGTCACAAGTACTGGAGTATATATAGGAGCCATATAGGGTATGAAATTATTACCTAATAAATGAAATTTTATAATAATAGTAGAGAAGAAAACACTGGACAAGCTTATGTGAAAAATACTTTTTTCTGTTTTTATGATACTAACATAAAGATATAAGAATAAAAAGTATAGTATTTTTAAATTATGCATGTAGTATTTGTCTTCTGAAATTTTCCCTAGAATTGGCCTGTTATTTTGCACTGGTTTGGATGCAGTCAAATTATAATTATCCTAATTCATGGGAACAAATCTGAAGAAAGATTCAAAAGCTAAACTCTGAATAATAGTTATGAACTATTGTTAATGTTTCAAGAATGGAAACTGAGCCTGGCATGGTGGTACACACTTTTAATCCCAGCACATGGGAGGCAGAGGCAAGCAGATGTCCGTGAGATTAAGGCCAGCCTGGTCTACATAGTGAATTCCAGACCAGCTGGGCCTACAGGGAGACCCTGTCTCAAAACAAAACAAAAACAAACAAATGGAATCTGAATCTGAAAAACTTATACTGATACCAGCACACTGGGCATTCCAATGGAGGGATTTGAACCCACCTTTTACTCACTGAAAAGTCAACGTCATACATTTGATGTTCAAAACAATTACTACAGTACTAAGAATGCAAAACTAAAACCTACTCAGAAGAAATGTGAACCTGGTACAATTTTTTGGAAGCGCTTCAGGTGTGATAGCAATGGCTTCCCTCCATGTATTTTCTAGATAAGTTAACTTTATAGAGCGGACAAGAGATCAAGACAATGTCCTCACTCACATGGGTGCATGTGGCCTGAACAGCAGTCAAGCGCCTAAGTCACAGAAGGCAAAAGCAAAGTGAGCAATTGCTGTCTGCACAGGACTTCGAGCCCCAGCCCCTCCATTGTGCTCTCGTTGTTTTGTAGCTCCACCCAGTCTGTCAACTTCTCAACAGTAGACACTGTGTGGCCCAATGGACTGTATGCAGCTGGAGCTCAAACATGCATCAAAGTGAAGGCCTATTTCTAATTTCAGCATATTTGCTTTATCTGCCACAGGTCACTTAAGAACGGTCCAGCTTCACATTCTCATAGTTGCAGTGTTCAAGGCAATGAAATTTGTTTGTCTTGTCTTGTTTTCCAAGATATGATAAGTCAGTTTCAAAGAAATTTTAATACACTCAAGGCATGGGACTCCCGAGCCAAAGGTCATTGCTTTCAGAGTTAAAATTATTCTTTTTCCAGATGTTATAGGTGCAATAGACTTTATATGGCTTGTCATGATTGAGTTATGGTTGCCATTAGCATTTTATTAAATGAGAAGCATTTCAGAAACACTATATTAGCAATAGAAAATAATTTTTTTAATTACTTATGTGATTCAGAGTTTTAATTTTTCTTTTTGATGAGTTCATTTAATATGTGGATTTATATTTTTTGTAATCAATCAAGCATTGACATATTGCATGAGTTCAAAGTAAGAATTTAAATCTTCAGCTGGGCATGGTGGCACATGCCTTTAATCCGAGAACTCAGGAGGCAGGGGCAGGCAGATCTCTGTGAGTTATTTCAAGGCCAGCCTGGTCTGCATAGCAAGTTCCAGGTCAGCTGGGGCTACAGGGAGATCCTTTCTCAAAAGGACCAAAAAGGGGGCTGGAGAGATGGCTCAGTGGTTAAGAGCACTAATTGCTCTTGCAGAGGGCCTAGGTTCAATTACCAGCACCCACATGGCCACTATGAACCGTCCATAACTCCAGTTCCAGGGGAATCCAAAGCCCTCATCTGACCTCTGCGGCATTGCACAACATGGGTTCACTCACATACATGCCGGCAATACAGTCATACACATAAAATAGAAATAATAAATAAAATATTTTTTTAAAAAGACCAAAAGAGAAAAAAAAAGAATTTTAAATCTTCAACGTTCAGTTTTTAGGATAGCAAAGAAAATTATAAAGCATTATTGGAATTATATAGAACATTTTTATACTGATATTACTTTTTATGTTACATTAAATGTAATAAAAAACATTAGAAATTTTACATTGCTTATACTATAATAATATTTTAGTTGAGATCCCTCTCTTCTTGGATGGCAATTTGATATGTTTCAAAAGATGTAAAGTTCTATATGATTAAAAAAGAATCTTCTAAATGTTTGAAAAGAGCCAAATACATATTCCGTATCAGTTCTAAACTATATGTGGATGTAGTTTCCTAAGAAAATAGTCATGAGTGAATAAAATGGAAAATACCTAAGTATAAAACCTTTCCACACGAACTTCAGCAGTCACTCTTACGTAAAGACTCCGCATAACAGTGATTCCAAGTGTAGACCGTTAGATCAGTAATAGATCAGTTGATAGTGAAAAGTTGAATTCTAACTTTAAAAAAGGCTTATCCTTAGCTTCCTTTTTAAAATATCTTATTTTTATTTTATGTGTATGAGTGTATGCCTTCATGTAGGTAAGTGCACCCATGTCATGCAATGCTGGCTGTCAGAAGAGGCCCTCAGATCCCCTGGGACTGGGGTTATGGACAGTTGTTAGCTGCCATGCGGGTGCTGGGATTCAAACCCGGATCTTCTGCAAGAACAGTCAGTGTTCTTAACCGCTGAGCCATCTCTCCAGGCCCAGCCCTCAGTTTTCTAAGTTCAACAATAGTCACTTAAATATAGCCTGCAGCTGTGGATGCCATAAGCAAAATCACATGGAAGGAAAGGAGGGACCCTCAGGACCACTCTGCTGTCTTGACTTCCTCATGAAACTCAGAGCATCAATCAGTGTCTTCTACTTACAGGAGGGTCTGCATCTTCAGCATAAACGGTGGTGATGGGTGTACCCTTGACTGCATCTGGAGCCACCATCCCCTTGTAGATGTGTTTGCTGAACACTGGCGGGTAGTCATTCATATCCTGTAAACAGAGTTGAGAGCTTAGTGCTATAGCTAAAGGCAGAGGATACCATTCCCAAGTTGGTTTGGCTCTTCATGTCATGCAACCCATCTACCACTGTCAGCCTGCCTGCCTCTCAGTTCCTTTACCACTCTTCAACTTGGCATGCCAGAGGAGATGGCCAATATGTGCTCTATCAAATGAAGGATATCCCCAAGTTACACCTTTTTGAGATTGAAGTGATGCTTGAAAATTTCTCTAAGGCATTTTGAGAGCTATGATATAGAATTCTAACTTTTGAAAAATAAGAACATTTGATTTTTGTGTGTGGTGGGGGTTTACAGGTACAAGTTCATGTGTGTGTATGTGTGTGCTCATATGCAGGGTTATTTGCTAGCCTGGAACTTCCAAGTAGGCTAGGCTGGCTAGACAGCCAGTCACAGAGATATACCTATCTCTATCTCTGCATTTCCACCTCTAGGACATCAAGTGCATGATACCATGCCCAGCTCGTGTGTGTGTGTGTGTGTGTGTGTGTGTGTGTGTGTGTGTGTGTGTGGTGCTGGGCATGCAGAGTCCTGGAGTTAGAGCATCAAGACTCACAGATGCAAATGGGGGGAGGAGGATGGTAAGACATGGCAGGTGACAGCCAGCTGGGGATATGCCTCAGCAGTGTTCAGACACCTGAGTAAGCAGGTACTAAGGAACAGGTTGGAAAATTTGACACTTGTCTCTGGTAGCTTCTCTTGAGGTCAGAGCTGAGTGTTCAGTGACAGCTGAAGACCCAGGGATGTTTCCGGATGATTGAAACAAGGTGCCACTCACACCATTAAAGAACAAGTCATGTCTCTGTACTTGGTATGTGGTGTCAAGCATTTTCTCTGATGTCTGTGGAGATTTGAGCAAATTGAATGCTTTTTACACTGTTACTTCTTTTGAAATTAACTTTATTCCCGCCCCCCCCCCTTTTTTTTAGTTCTTTTGAGACAGGGTCTCCCTGCAGCCCCAGTGGGCCTAGAACTCACTATGGAGATGAGGCTGGCCATGGTCTCACAGAGACTACCTGCCTCTGCCTCCTGAGAGTGGTGATAAAAAGCATTCAGTACCATGCCAGCTCATTTCCCACCACTATTTTTGCATAACGATAGCCTTTGCTATTGATGATGTCCAGCTTTGTTATGTGGATTCTGGGAACCACTCAGGTCTTTGTACTTGCAAGTCAAGCATTCTGCAAGCTGAGCTGTGTTACCAGCCCCTCTGTTCTAAATATGATTTCTTATAAAGCTACATCAGAGGAGAGGATAAAAGATGGCATTCTACTGTTTATTTTGTTGTTGCCTTTAAAAAGTTCTCTGTTTCTGTAGTAACTGTGAATTACCTTGCATACTTAATAAAATGGTATGAATATAACTGTGAAATATTTGATTTTTTTTCTTTCTTAAAAATGTAAAATAATAAAAAGAATTCTATCCTGAAGCACACTGCAAATACAGTATTTAAAATTATATATGCTTACAGACAGAAATCAATGTTAATTTACTTAAGATTTTCAAAGCAATTTATATGCATCTGAATTCATTTTTACTCTTTTGTAATGCATAATAATTAAGTAAATATTTATTAAGTCACTCTCATATTTGTAACTCTTCACTGGAGTCTATTGGATACTGAGTTGATGCAGGAAAAAGATATCCCTGTAAGAATGTCACTGACTGACACTGGAACAGTGAAGACAATGATGTAGACAGGTTAATGACTATCTAAACTGATTAATCATCTGTCAGAGTCCAAGACAGTAAATCAAGTCCTCTGAGAGGAAGAATATTTTTCTAGGCCATCTTATTATCTAAGAAGAATTGCACATCTTTTTTTCTGAATCAATATTTGCTATAATGGTTGTCTTTTTGAATAATCACTGCACTCTGCAATGTTTAGGGTACTTCAGGTCAAACATATTTAGGCACAATTAACAATTTGTTAACTATCTGTTCTTCCTATCCAAGGCAACCTTTTTCATTTTATATTAAATGAAAAAGATAAAATACTCTGCATATCTTAGATATTTGCCCAGACACATTTTTTCTAACCAGTTAAAATCAGAAGCACAAATTAACCAATTTTCAACTCCTCTTGACGCAGAAAGGTCAGATGACTAACTCTAACAACCAAACCAAGTTTACTTTCAGGTGTACAGTAGAGCAGACATCTAAGTTGTGATATTAATAATTTGTAGACATTAATTAGAAAGAAATCTCAAATGGTAAGAAAATTTTAAAAATAAAAGACACCATTCCCTTTAGACAAATGGTATTCTCTACATCTTCTGTAAAAAGACGTCCTTTATGAATTATGAAATGTAGAACTGAACAAGTAAATGAACTTAGAATTGCCAGCTGTCTATAAAGAGGGGTGTGGAGGTATTGACCTGGTGATCCAGGAAGAAGGAAATCTAGAAAGGTTTTCATACACATTTTACTGCTCGTTCAAGAGAAGCCTTCAATTCAGTGGGTGTGACTTGTGATTAAAGAGTGGAAATACATGTGCACCCTTAAATTCTAACTTCTGAAGTTTTTAAAGAAAGCATCCAATATCACTTTTAATTGCATGGATTTTCAAAGCTTGATAAACTTAACGTGTTTCTGCATATTTTCTTCAAGTATTCCCTGACCCCCTGGCCGAGGGAAACATAAAACCTTAACACAACAGTGTAGTTTCTAGGAAATTTGATTCTTAAGGGAAGGTATGATTTACAATTACATCAATACAGTTGTTGATACTCTTGAATACAAAGACTGTTTTTTTCTGCTGAAAAAGTATTTTCTAGATTTACTTATGTGAATCACAGTGTCTTGAAAACCCATCCTCATAAACTGATTACACATAAACCTGAGACTATAATAACTGATAATCATTAAAAGATTGCTTTTCTTCCTCATTATTTTGCTTGTCATTGATTGAGTGAAGAACATATCAGTTCAGTTATAATGTACAAGTCTTTACTTGAGAGCATGCTGTGCATGTTTGAATTTTACAATCTCTACTGCTGCTGAGAAGTGTGGCAAGTGGCCCAGCATTCTTCCACAATACACTATTTCAGATGAGACCGGTTACTGAATTACAATGCTGATGTGCATAATCAATAGTTCATTATAATTATGCTTCAGGGACATCAAAGAAAATGCACATAAATCTGCTTCTGTGCAAATGTTCTTTTATGCAGTAAATTAAAAAGTTCAACCCTCCCAAGCCAGGCATGTTCCTACTGCTTTTACTCCACTAGGGGGTAGTGTTGGCAAAAGGAAGCATTGCTTCCTCTAGCCTATAGTTAATTTTATCATTAAAACTAAAATAGTTTGCTTCCTGTGGTTATATTTGTTGATCCAAATTAAATTATTTTTTATGTTTCAAAAGACTGTTCCAGTATTACAGGGTTTTCAACAGAACAGTACCAGGCATTGCCTGCCAGGCATCTCCTACTAGTTTGTTTTTCAATCAGTGATGCTCACAATTTGTTTACATGCTTCCAGCCAATAAAACTGCACCTCAAGTTGTTGTTAGATAGCTGGATGAAAATATGAGTTTCATCTATTTATGCTCTAAATTAAAGTCGAAAATAATCACACAATGCTTTTAACTCGGACCAAAAAGTAGATTTAAGGAATGATTTGAACAGCATATCAAGATGCTGGGAGCTTACTGCTAAGTCTGTAAATTAATGACAAGTTGAAAATCTAAACAAAAATAATAAGAAAAAAGAGAGATAAAAATGTGATTTTTTTTCCAGAATTCATGGATGAAGATGCTGGCCTCCATCTCCTTCAGTTCTGATGTTCAATGAAGAGGCACAATACCATGGGGCAGTGGATGGAACAGTGTATGTGTATCTGCCCAGCTGTCAGGCTCTAGTGCTAACTGTGTTGAGCTGTCCAGCCACCCTAACCCTCCAAAACCCTTGGGGCCTATAGAGCTGGCATCTGCTCTTCTCAAACAGTATACAGTTGGTTCCCTGCCATGACCAGACACCATCTGTTAGCTGTTTCTTATAGAATTAGTCTTCTGATAATGTTTTTTCCTGCTTTTCATGAGTCTCTCAAATAGAAATTAGTTTTTCTTGTAATTTACTATTTTCAGAAAATCAGAATCTTTCCTGGAAGATTATTTCCTTGCTGCCTAAATTTGTTTAAGAGTAAGTGTCAGATTGTATGTGTTTGAGTGTGTGTGTGTGTGTGTGTGTGTGTGTTTGTGTGTGTGGTGTGTTTCTGAGCATGTAAACTTCTTGCTGTGACAAAATATCTAAGAGAATCAGCTTAAAGAAGGAAAATTTTATTTAGGGTTCCAGTCATGTTTGATGTGCATAGTGGATCAAAGCAGCTTCTGATGACCAGGAAACAAAGACAGAGGTGTGGTCATCATAAAGACCCTCCCCAAATCCTTTCTCTATGAATTCATCATTAGATTGATCCCTTCATGAGGTCAGGCCTCTGGGATCCAATCACCTCTCAAGGTCCCTCTTCCAAACACTGCTATGCTGGGTACCAAACCCTCGCCAATAAAATTTGGGAGCACTGAAACTTCAAACATAATATTATAGACCAACAGTCATTATGATGTTGTAAATATAAGGAAATTGAAGTTTGGAGACCTTACATTGCTCATGTTTAAGGAGTTAATAAGGGATATAGACACAATTGAAATTTGGTGAGTCAGATCCTAAAGCCTTTAGCATGATATTTGGAGGCAAAGACAGGGAATCATAAAGCCACCAGAACATTCTAGAAAAGATGACTTGAAAGGATTTTCATTAAAATAAACCCATAGGTATTGTTTAAAACACCTCTTTTCAACACCAGTTTTTAAAATTTTTAAACCTTCTTCCAACTCATTACTATAGCTTTGTCTCGATAACCTAAAGATTTTTAAAACATTGAAAAATTTTATAGTTTATTTGTAAAACAGTGAAGAGTTAGAAGTTAAATTTTAACATTTAAATTTTTTATTATTTTTATTTTATGTATATGAGT